TGAACATGAATTCCATTCTTGCATCTTTAAACTAAACCCAGATTGCCCAAAATTAACCAACCCTTCACTAATTTGGGGAAAATCATGAATTTTAGACACAACAGCCGGCAATTTGTGGTAAGATTTTTAATTAATACCACCAATAGAAAGAACACAATCATCCAACATATACAATTACAAAACAAACGTATGCACGAAATACAAAAACGAGGATAAAATCATGGCTGCACAAGAAAACCACAAAAAAAAGAGGAGTTTAAGGAAAGCAGTACTCACGGAGAGTCATATGCACAAGAAAGTCACTTGGGCTTCAACAATTTTTCCATTTAATGGTGAGTCGCGAGGTTGTTCAGCTGATGGGTATTGAGGGGTAACTCCGCCATGAACAAGCATTCAAGTTTTCAAAGAGAATGACTTTAGCTCTGTTCTCGAAAGCTTTTAATTTTCTTTCGTTTTTGATTATTTTTATTTTTATTTTATTTCCTTTCTTTTGCTTCGTAATGGGTAAAGGAGGCCCCATCTGATTAGTTCCAATTCCAATTCAAAAACAAGTAGCAAAATGTGAAAAAAAAAAAAATGTCAAATTTGAAATTATCACAATTTTTTTAAATCACTCTAATTGAGTCGACTCATCATATTATTTGAAAAAAATTATATAAATATATATTTACTATTAAATTTCATAATTTTATGTACATTATTCTTATAGTATTACAGTTTAACATTTTTTTTAATTAAAATATGTATATTTGTAATTGTCGTCGATCAGTTTGATTCTTCTACATTAATTAGTTGAATACGTGAATTCTTTCGTGCAAATTTTTCATTTAATTTAAATTAAAAAAATATTACCTTTTTCTTATCTTGTATTTCAAGAATTTCAGGTTTAATTCTTCTACATTAATTAGTTGAATAGGTGAATTCTTTCGTGCAAATTTTTCATTTAATTTAAATTAAAAAAATATTACCTTTTTCTTATCTTGTATTTCAAGAAGTTCCTTGAAATATAATGTATAAATAAATTGAAAAGGTCAGCGAAGGAAGGGACATGAAGAAAGACTGAAAGAACATTAGTCGGGTAAGAGAATAAACACGCGTGCAGCCAACTTTTTAAAAGTGTACACATCTATCTATCAAAAATTATATGTAGTCAATTTTTTTTATAGAGTCATCAATCAGTTAATGTATTGACATTTATCCAAAATATATTTATTATAGGACACGTGTCAATACACTATTTGTGAATAACTATGGATGACTACATAAGTCGAGTCATCTAATAGCTTCGTAGCAAAACTGTCTATCTATCAAACACTTGTTTCTTCAATTACAAGTTTCTCAAAGTTTTGCAAATACAATTAATTGCGTTCCTTAAATTTTGCTTCTACAAAATAAAGTTTGATAATTGCTTCTTCATGCCTAGTAAAAGTATTCAACAGCGTTTGTACCGAAAAAAAAAAAAGTATTCAACAGCGTAAGTAACCGAATTATAGAAAATGAATCATTCAAATGAATATCTTGAATAAGTAAATAACACAAACTAATGAAATAGTCGTACCCTTTTAATAAAAATACATTTCATATTTTTGTTTATATCACAATAAAAAGTCTTGTCCACATTTCAATTTTACGCATGTAAATCACATTCACTCCAAGAAAGGAAATCAAGTAGAAATAGTAGAAATAGCTCACGAGCCGCAGAGTTTTACAAAGTCGAATCAACCGAATCAAATCAAGGCTTGAAGATATCACATGAAAAGGGCAATGAGGTTTTTTTTTTTCAAGTAAGATCATCTTCCTCAAGCTCTTTGGCCTTCAAGGCTTCCTTCACTCTCAACAGTAGTGTTGTCTTCCAAGCATCCTATCAAATAAAGAAAAAACGATGAAAAAACATCAGCAAGCACAATTATTATTTGAATTCGTACACTAAGCAAATCATATCAAATTAATCGAAAAAGATCAAAAATAATTGAACGAGATAATAATGGTAAATAATCCACACTTACCAGCTGGGTCATGCTATCGAATACCTTGACTGCATCTGTAAACTTGCCCATATCTTCCTCATCAATGGCAGCAGCTAAATCCTAGATCAAGAGACACAGTATATATGTATAAAGATTATCAATTCATGAGGGACGATGAAAAAATCTGAGTATCGAGGAAATATATATAAAAATATTAAGAAAAGAGGAAAGAACTAATGATTGAGAACACCACAGCATACCGCTAGCAATTTGTACTCGCGTGTTCCGGAAAATGTTGGATCGAGTTCCTGCAAATGAAGAACAAAAGATTCTCCATACCGTGTATTATATTAACTACAAAAAGTAGAACTGTCGGTGGATATGAGAACAACATATGTACCTGATATCGGTCTAATGCATTGTTGATAGCAACGATATCATTCTTGCACAGCTGGCAAATTCCAGCATTAAGAAGGTGCCCTTTTACTCCATACTTCAGCAAGTTGTTGTTGAGTGACTGTCGTGCTATATCTTCATAGATCTCGATGGCCTTTGGATATCTGAGAAAAAACGTTAACCCAGTTTCAGCACAAGATTCATTTTTTATTCAAAATAAACCATGAACATAACTTCAAACGAGTGAAAGTACAGCATAATTTTGAAGTTACTCTCCTGAATTTGTTCAACCACATGTTTGATAATTTTCAGCAATAGGAATCTAAAGTAAAAGTCTGATAAACGGATCTTGCAGGCATTTTGCCTAGTATTTCATTACAAATTGTAGTATATGTAGATTTAGAGGTGTTGCTCGGCAGCAGTAAATACAGATTTTTATCTTCTGAGCCACATGTATGATCTGTAAGCAAATAAAGATTTAGTCGAAGAGGCAAATGATGAAAACATAAGTTCCCTAAAAAATGATCCCTTCTAGGTGCGATTGGATATCGACAATGGGACCTTTATATTCCATAGAGAAAAAATACACTAGTTATCTATCTCACTTTTTCCCATCAATTTTATAATCAATCAATACTACATATTTCTTTACAAAATGTACTATTCAGCAATACATTTATATCTGTCAATCATTTTTGTTTACTATTTCCTAACAAATCACAATTAACTCTTACCTTCTCACCTTACATCTTCAAATTATATAAATAATTAATTATTCCCAAATATTTTTTCATCGGAGAGTTTTTTATCTTTTTTTTTCAATGCAAGCATATTCAATTGCACTTAATAGTCAATGAGAGTAAACCATGGAAATCATGTAGAAAAGAAAAGAAAAACAAATAAATAACAGAGGGAGAAATTGAAGACCTGAAGCATAAATAGAGCATTAACAAGAAATGAACAGCACTGCTACATGTATGAACTAAAATCATCAGTAATTACATGATCTGGGTAATGATGCAAAGAGAGCAGGCAAACTTAACTGTTCCAACTGAGCTGCATACTGCGCAATTTTCTGCTTGCACTGATTTGCAGATGTTGTCGCGTCTTCACTTTGGAAAAGATCAACAGCTTTTTCATAGTAAACAATAGCTTGTTCCAAGTTCTGTTCTTGCTCATACAACTCAGCTATTTCCTGAAATGTAGCAAATCTCATTCTGTCTATGCCCAAAATACGACAATTACTCTTCAACAACTCAGATTTTAACAGCACCATAATCACTAGGATGGTCAATGAATCGAATTTCAGAAAATAGAAGCTGGTGTTTCATGTCTAAGAAACTCTTTTGAGGTTATGAAACAGCAGCCAGATATATGTACTTATTAAATGTTTTACCTTATAATATCTGGCACACATATTAAGCCTTCCAATATCCATGAATAGATTTACAGACTCTTCCAAGCACGATATAGACTCTGCAAAGCACGCATGGGAATTATATCAGGATGTTACCTAACTAGCTTCAAGTTCAGAAAAGATGAATCAAAAAGAAAATACAAAGAGGAAGATGCTTATCACCAAGGAAGCAGGATCAAAATAGAATCTCAATATGGGCAAAGATTGAAAATGGGTTTGATCAGGTCCTCACAAAACCAAATAATTTCACCATTAACACATTAATTGAATGCACCAATGACATCAAGAAGGCGGGACAATGATATAAGAAAATGAACTAGGCTATAATTGCCTCAAACTGCTTCCTTCACTCAGGCACATAAAAGCAAGATGATGAATTAGTTAGACATTTCCGAACAACTACACAAATTACTCTCTAGTCTGCATCACCAACATGCCTACAATCAGAAATTGAAAAGCATCCAGTAACAGAAAGTGCAAAAATGAAAATATCCGCACACCTTTCGTGTTAGACTTCTTGTAGCAATGAGCGGCATCAGCATATGCGTTACCGGCTTCATGCTTGCTATCTAACTGAAGATATAAGATATCAAGAAGCATAAAACCCTTAAGAACCAATAAAGTGGATAGGTGAAAATATAGGTCATATTCCAGCCCGCTCAAGCCACAATATTGTGCATAAAAATCTTACCTTTAAGTGACAGTTGGCCAACTTAACATAAACTGCTCCGGCCTGATCCCCTAAAAAAACCATTTTTTTCAACATTTGAACTAAATCATGCGCTGCGAGAACTCCAGAGACATGAAAATCCTTGATAATACAAAAACTATAATTTGGTTTAAGATTTGCAAATGCCATGCCCCAATAATAGGTTTTAAATTTCATCTCAAGAAAATCAAGATAATCCAATGCATTCCCATCAAGCTATGATGAAAAAAATAAACAAACAAAACATATTTGGCTACTTAAAATTTCCTCAACGAAAATAATTGAAAAAATTATACAAACAAAGATCACAGGAAATAAAACGAACACGGACAGTAAATTGACCTAGCATAGAGATTCACGAAGCAATTACTAGAACAGTAAAAACGAAAGATTTATCGAAAAATCGATAGATACATGATTTGGCGAGTTTGTAAGCGTTGGCGGCTTTGTCGAATAGATCGGCGGCGTCTTCATATTTGGAGCCGAATAGACCCCAGCCGGCAAGCTTCTTCTCGGCTCGGCGGTCGAAGTCCTCGGCCCTTGCTATATGATCGCCCATTGATTTTTGATTCTTCACGCAAAATTGTAGGTCTGGTTTTTTCTACGCTTTGCTCTGGCTTTTTATGTTTCCAAGGGATGGATCAAATAAAGAGGAGAAAAATAATGTTACTATTATTATAATATATTAGTATTAATGTTACAGTTATAAAGTATTTGTTGTGTATTAGTATATCAATTATGATTACATATTAAATTATTTCTGAAATGGGATAAATTGAATAATTAATTTGAAAAAAAAAATATATAAGGAGAAAAATAAAGAAAATTCGGGTGACTAACTTTAAAGCACCCTTGAGTCTTGATTGTTAAAGTGTAATATTGTTTGTAGGTGTAATTTGGGTTGTATTCATTTTGAAATAGTTTAAAAAAAAAATACTTTAAGAATTTTGGTATATTTAACTAGTATTTTTTAAAAAAAAAATTGACATTTTTTAATGTTTTAAGAAAACAGAAGTTATAAGTTATTCAATCTATTTGTCAATTTGTCTAGACTTTTAAGTATTATCAAGATTTAAAAAAATACATATATTTACTGACATTACGTACACAAGCTTAAATGTACAATGATTCTAGTTAAATTTAAAAAAAAAAAAAAAAAAAAAGTGTTACGTGTTTTTGAAATTTTTCAAAAGTTTCATAATACTTCGATCATACAATGTCCATGTACGGTTATGATCATTTATTTTTGCGCAGGCATGTACATATACCCCATGAAGTTTTGACTAGACATGGCAAAAAATCGAGCCCGGTTGAAGTTTTGACTAGACATGGCAAAAAACCGAGCCGGGTCACAACTCGGCTCGGCCCGCCGGGCCACCGGGTTGGGTTTCGACGACCCTGAATCGACACGGACCTAGGGTCGTGCTGTAACACCCCGAGTTTTTATTAATAAAGGAAATACTAGCTTTTAGTTTAAGCTAGCCTTTGTTAATAAATAACCAGATTCATGTTCAAGTTTAAGCAGTTCAGTCAATTACATTCCAAGTTCGGTTTACCTGTACTGTGTCGTGTTCACATTGGTACACCGTTTATAATTAATTAAGTAATGATCATTAGCCTTTACTTAATTAACTTAATCATGTTTAAGCTAATTAATCGAGATTAGCTTAAGATAATCATGATTAGCTTAATGTTAATTAAAAATTAATTAACATTAATGAGGATTAATTAGCAATTAATCATATTATTGTGATTAAGCCGTGTGACTCTTCAAGTTCGGAAAGAATTATTTCCTCATTATTTTGGGATCAACACGTGGCATCATTAGGAGATGCTTAGTCATCCCAACTTAACTAGTAAAGCAACAAGTGTAAGCCTTATCATTCCAACAATTTTCATTTCTTTCCCTCGGCTTATGTTAAGGAGGGTTGGGTCCGATTCTTTTCCCCATTTTCTCCGATTGCAAAGCAACATCAGAGAGAGAGAGAGTCTTCCATTGAAATATTCTGCAAACCGAGAGCTTAGTACAGAGGAGGAGAGAGATCGAATTCCTTAATCAAGCAAGAAGATATTCTCGGCACCACAACACCGATACCGCACGGCAGGTCACGCAACCGCAGAGCAAGAAGAGCTTGATCAATTGGCATGATTTTGATCGAGTAATTCAGAGGTAGATCGTTCTCATCCTCCTTTTCAGTTCAATTGGTTCAGTAATGGTTTAAGTGGGCAGTTAAGGATTTGAAATTTCAGTTTATGTCATGTTAATCTCGGTTTAGGCCGAGGTAGGTCTAGATCGTATAAGCTTTGATTTCTTTTCCGGCAACTTATGTATTTCAGAAATCCTTTGATAAAATTAGGCTCTATTTAATTGAATTAGCTAATTTAATGTTCAGTTTTGTCATGGGTTGCTGGATATATGTTGTGTTAATTAGTAGATGGGTTCGGCTGAGAGGATAGTCACGTACTTCGCGTGTTCACGGGCCGAGCAAGGCATTAGATCATGTTAGGGATAACTAACAGATTTTCAGGTCCTTCAATCATTAAATTTTGTGATATGTTGAAGTAATAGGAATTCAGGTTCAGAATTTTATAGAATTACCTGGAATCGATCATGTTAGATTAATCGGATTTTGATGTGTGTGAGGCTGTGCGGCTGTATAAAGTTGTGTGTGTATCTATGAACATTTATGTTTAATCATGAGTTTTCCTACGCTGTTGATCGAAGGATGAAGAGGTACTGTTAGTTTATTTTTGGATTGATCATAGTAGTGATAAGTTAGTTTAATTGTAATTCAAGTTGAGTTCTTGTTGTGGCGTTAAGCCGTACGACTGTGTACATCCGTGTGCACCTTTGTGTGTATCCACGGGAGAAATCATACCTAATTATCATGTTTATTCGGAAGGACCGAGTAATTTTATGTTTCGTTCGGAAATTCATATGCATTGCAGGCTTAATTAGTTATGTCCAGTTCAGTTGTCCAGCCCATGTTAAGAAATTCAAGTGATTATCATGTTATGCTCAATTTAACTTGTTCGAGGTTATGGCCGAGTTAAGTTAAATTCTACTGAAACAACATCGAGTAAATTATGTTTATTTAATCATTTCAAGTTAGTATATGATCAGTTTTCAGAAATTAATGGGAATAAGTTGAGGTTTACTTCAAGTATTGGCCTGAGGAAGTGGACATCGCCCGTAGCGCCCGTTCACGGGCCATCATGTGATATATATATATATATATATATATATATATATACTTTTGTGTGTCAATATGATTAGAAATGTTCAAGTAGCTCATGTTCAATAAGATTCAGATAGTATATATACGATTAGTTGTTCATGGTTATTCGATGAAGTTGTAGTTTGTTCGAAGATTTAGCTTATCTTTGAGTGTGTGCATTCGGTGTGCACGCCTCAACACTCTCAGTAGGTAAAGTTCATGATTTCAATTCCATTTCAGTTAACTTCCAAGTCCAGATCAGTTCAGTAAATTTATATCAGTTAAGTCCCGAGTTTAGGCGGTTTCAGTTATACCGGTTAAGTTCAGATAGCATGTTTAAGTCTAGTAGAGCATCTTAACATGTTAATCAGTTATTTTTATCAGTCTGAGCATAGTATTTAGTAAATGTTTATATTATTTTCAGTTTGTTCAGGAACCAGATGATCAGCACTTACATTTTCAAATCAGCAGTTCAGGTGGGGACTCAGACTGAGTATTACATTACGTATAATTACAGCTATCATGCGAGGTATGTATATATCAGTTCCGCTTAGAGTGGTGGCCAGCAGCGTAATTCCACTCCGAGCTCTAGTGGCTAGATCTGACCACTAGGGTGTGCACATGGTTCCGGCTAGTATTATTACAGTCGGCAGACACAGTTTACATCCAGTTTATACTGTTGATGAGCAGTTACAGATAGCAGCAGATATGCATATGTTGATTATGATAATGCAATTATTATTAATGTTTACTTTAGTATGAGTTTCTGCGGAGTACAGTGTTTTAGTACTCACGCCCCCACGTAATTCATGTTTTTCAGGTTATGAAGTCGGGCCGGAGGAGTGAGATGACGGAGCTGTTCGGGATTATGCTTATAAAGTTTAAATTACCTAAGCTTTATGCTTATAAAGATTAAATTACGTTTTGTATAGTTAGAATTTGGCATAGCAAAGCCGTTATTACTTTCAGATAAAATGTTTTCACAGCTACGGCATTGCTAACCAAATTCCCAGCTACAGCTTCCGCTGATGATTGACCATTTGTCATACTTAGCCCTTTTATCAGTCAGCAAGCTGTTGACAATTCACTGTTGGTGCAACCGAAGTCCATTATCAGTTCTGCGACAGTGAATTCGTCTAGTTTTATCAGTCATGTATTAGTTAACTTTTGTAAATCAAAAGTTTCAGACTTTTCAGTCAGTTATGTATTTTAGTAGCACTCCGAATCAGTATTTCGCAATGTAAAACGTTTTATTTTGAATAAAAATTTCCAGTTTCGCACTTTGATGTTTATGGAAAAGCGGGGTGTTACACGTGCCGGGTCCATGATTCGGCGGGACGGGCTGGGCCCGACCCGAGTTTGGACCCAGCCACATAAAAAAATTAAAAAAAAAAAGGAAAAAATTAAAAAGCAATGTATTTTCGTGTCGACACGGGTCCGGCCCGGGCCGCGGGGTCAAGGTCGAAAAAACATGACCCTTGACCGGCCCATTTGAAATCCGTGCCGGGGCCGCACCCGTGGTCAACGGCTTTGACCGGGCCGGGTCCGTGCCGGGTCCGAACCGGGTGACCCATGGCCATGTCTAGTTTTGACGATTGATTTACACCCACATACACACATATCTAATCAATGACCAACACACACACAATGCCCATAGGTAGGTAAAGTGACCCTAGGTTTTGATAGAACAATTTTGAAAAAAAAAAATAAAAAATCCAATCTATGATATGGTTTTATTGGATCTTTGTCAAAGTATAAGTAATACTTTTTAAATATTAATACATTTTTTAAATATTTTTCAAAAATGAAATTTATGATCACACAGTATGGTATGATTTTTTTATTTTTATTTTTTTTATATTTTTTTCTAAAACATTGAGGAGAAAATTTTTCATTCGACTTGACGATTGTTTTACTACTTCAGTACTTCTCAAATCGTTTTTTTTTTTTTT